TGGGTGATTATTCCAGCCTGGGTAGTAAGTGTTAGAATTTTGATTGTGTTGCTATCTTTGAAAATTTTGAGCATAATTTACATAATCTACCTACTGAGCAAAAGGACTGCCCATGGTGCAGTCAACATTCTCATGATTCCTTTCACAATGCTTGCATTTCGGTCCGACTATTTGAGTTGCACTCATATTTTCCACCTTTTGCACCAATGATGACAAATGAGCTGATATTGTTGTCAAAGAATCAACTTCATATACTCTTAACGACCTTCTTTTCACTTGCTCTATCAGTAGGCCAAAGTGTACTAGTGAATGCCAAGCCCTCCATGATTTGGTAGACTTGATTCGCGGTTCTTTTTGTGATAGTACTATCGCATGCAGAGTCTACGTTAGCCCTGCTTATCAGATTCAGACCAATATAGAACAACTGCACCTGAAGCTATTTTCGCAATCCGTGTTGTGGGCATTGGCAAAGTAAATACATGTATTTTTTTCAAGCCTCTAAATAGCATTCTGAGTCCAGTTGTTAGAATATGGTAATCTCGTCCCTTAGCTTTGTAATCATTTTCGACGGAAAATATCTGTTAAGAAATTTATGACTCAATGGGTTCCATGTAGCGATGCTCTGGGGTGGACAAGTGTTTAACCACTCTTGGCTGAGTCTCTCAATGTGTATGGGAAAAGCCTCAGTCTAATTGTTTCACTGGACACCCTGGATACTCGATAGTTGCACACATCCAAAAATCTTGATATATGAGCATTGAGATTCTCCATAACTTTCCCAAAGAATTGTAGCACGTTTTGGAACATGTTGATCACATTAGTCCTGAGGTGGAAGTTTGCCGGACCAAATGTCGAATATACTATGCTAGACTTGCTTTCCACAACTAGTGGAACCATGTACTCCTCCATCAACCTTTCATTTTCATTAGCTGCAGCCACATTCAGTAGTGTTGCTTCTAGATTACCCCCGATGACTATTTGATTCGGATTTCCTCTGCCATATCTTCCTCTCTTTGTTTTTAGTGTGTTTTCAAATGTATCTTTTTCGAATGTTGAATGCTCGTTCGATCTCAGGTCAAATTGAGCAAGATCACCGGTTTTCGAATTTCGCATACAATGTTTTTCTAATATAATGAATTAAACTAAAAAAATTAAAATTCATACTAAAACTAAAATTAACTAAACTTATCAAAAATAATAGTCCCCGATAACGACGCCAAAAATTCAATCATTTGAAAACCCGCAAGTACAATGGATCGTTGTCAAATAATAAAGTGATGAATAGAGTGTCAAACATACGAGGGTTATGTGTTTGATCGAGTTAAAATTAATTACAACTTTAATCGAATAGCAAATAAATTTTGTGATTTTTCTATACTAATCCCTAAATTATCAATTAAACTAGTGAAAGTAAGTAAATGTGTTTTTCAAATATGTGAGAAGTTTTGCTAAAATGTCGGATTACCCGTTAGTCCATTTTTAGTGTATCTATTAAAGTGACAATTTGAAATTATTCATATTGGTCAAATCTATTCCCATCATGTGACCATTCTATCTCTTCATAAAAGATGTAAACATGATAAATGTATTAACAAGTGTTATAATACCTATTAAAACCATATAAAGTATAGAGGTATATCTCTATCCTCCTCTATCAAATCTTACAACATTTATTGTATTGTGTTTAAACCATATTATCACTCTTTCTCTCTCCATAACAATAAAATCCACTAATAATTCAATTGGTGACCAAGCAATTGAAAATAACGATAAAAACGATAATAAACATCTACAAATCAAACCAAATTAAAGTCAAAATAATTCTCTTACAAAAATTATGAATTTTTCTCATTTGATGATAATAATTGATGAGTATTGAAGTATAATATGTATATATATGAGAGGTCTCTAATATGTATTCTGCTATTGGGTATTTGTAGGAGTTGAAAATTGATTGAAAATCACGTCTAAATTAATTTTCAAAAGAGTTCCAATCGAATAAGAAAAGTTGTCTTCGCACACGAATTTTTTGTCTCTATACAGCAATCAGTATTTTGGCCATAACTTTTTCTCTTCATATCTGATTGAGGCGATTCAAAGTGCGTTGGAACGATAACTCAAAGGGATACAACTTTTCCAGCAATGGAAATTTTTCAATTCGGACATTTACTATGCCAAAAATGGATTTCAATTTTCGACTAAAAATCTGAAATATATCTCATACGATTGGAAATTGATTTTGATAATATTTTGATCATATTTCATTCCTTTTTGAGTTCTAATTAAATCAAATTGTCTCATAACAATCTTCAAAGTATCGTCTTGCGGTCCGAATAAAATATTGAATATTTGTAATTTGGTTTTCAAACTTTGGACTTTGCCATTTTTTTCTTGATTTTTCCTTTGTTTCTTCCAATTTCTCGTTCTACCATTAAGTTTTACCTATATAATATAAAATACAATAATTAGAATATATTTTGTCAAAAGAACTACTAAATATCGATATTTTGGGTCCCCGAATCAATTATCTTTTTGAAAATGTATTATTAGCTCGAACACCAAATTAGCATTTTACTATTTTTCTTTTTTCGATCCAGTTGTTCCTTAATCTATTCTTCCATCTATTCTACATCGCTTTTGGTGGAATCAATAATCATTTACGATTTCATAAGCTAAACATATTTAGTTCAGAGCCCGAAAAGTATCAAGGAGTTGTGATAACTTTATCATTTTGACTCATGTTTTAAAGTAAATACAGAAATTAAGGGCTTGTTTGGTTGAGTTTCAGTTTTAAGTTCATTTTCAATTTTCTATTTTGAGTCTATTTTAAAATTTCTAAAAACGTATTTAGTTTGTTATTTTGAAAAATTGTTTCTCAAAATAAAATAAAAAAATCGAAAATATGTTTGGCTTGAAATTTTGAGAAATTATTTGATTGAATTTTAATCCAAGAAATTTCATTATTAAGTGAAATAGAAAATTTTGTGTTAATATATTATCAATTAATATATACATTCTAAAGTTGATGAATATGACATTATTTTTCTGCTACAATAGTAAAGTAAAACCAAATAATAAAATGAGTTAGCAATACATAGGAAACAAAAAATAAAAATTAATGATGTATATTGAGAATTATTATTCGTATTTATTTAAATACATTTTTTAAAAAAAAATTATGTAAATAACCATCAAGAACTTGAGCTCTTTTATATTTTTCCTAATTTCTAATTTTCTGAAATTCTAAAAAGTACGTTTTTCTGAAAAATGCATTTTTTTTTTTTTTTAACAAAAATGGATCTCAAACAAGCCCATTATATTTATATTTCTAGAATTTTTTATTTTTATTCATATATTTTGTGGAATCCACCATTTATGCCCACTTATTCATTACTTATTACTCATTTCTATCTTTTCATAATTTAAACTGATTATAAACAATTCGCAAACATGTCTACATGATCTTTATTTAGAAAAAAATAGCAAATAAATATATAAAAGGAAATTTTACTGACTATAAAAGCTTTTCGTTATATGAAAAAAAAATTACAATCATAAAATTTCTTGCTTATTTCTCAGGAGTATAGTAGGAAAAATAATACCTAAATTTTATCACATACCAATTTCAACATGTTGTAGAATCCACAAAAAGAACAAGAAAAACTAGGATACTAAAAGTTTACAATGTCTATTTTTAAAAAAGCTAACTTGTGAAGCTCATATTAATTAGAGAAAATTATCCTAAGCCCTAGATTTTAAGTTCCAAATTCAAAAATGATAAACTCATTTTTTTTTTCAATAATCAGAAAATAATTTTTATAACTATTCTCTCTTTACACCCTCTATATGTACTCTTTATTATCTCTCTCTATTTGCTCTCTATATAGTTTACACCCAAATTTGTATACCCTTGCCCTCACTTGTTGCACATGCCTCTCCTTTGTTGTAATTGAGGTCAAGATGGGTATACCAAAATATGCATATGCCATTTATACTACAAAAGTCAAAAGAAGACAAGTACTCGCTCCACTTATCGATACCATCGGTCAACGCGGGCTCATAATTGGAGGAAATGAAAATTCATTATCTTGCAATTTAAAGGGTCTCAAATGAGCACTAAATATGATAAAATATCAAAATTGTGTGTTAGTACCACTCGGCACAATTTCTAGAAGAAGAAACAATTTCTTCTCTTAAAGACTTCATTTGGTTGATACAAAATTAAGAATAATGATACATGTATATAATGGAGTTACATAATAATTTACAACAGATAAAATGTCGAAAAGAGAGTGGTGAATTTTTTGTTTTTTGGTTGAAGAAATTCTAATCAATATTTCACTACATTATGTATATGTAAATCATTATGTAGAGAGAGAGAGAGAGAGAGAGAGAGAGAGAGAGAGAGAGAGAG